TGAAAAACATGTACTGTCCTTGGAAGCGTCAAAAAAATGAGGTGAAACCTTAACAGACTTGGATAAGGAAGAGAAGGGTGTCCAAGAATCATGGTCTGGTGCAGAACCATGGAATGATCTAAGTGTTTGATCTGCCCTCAGTCCTCTTGAAACATAGGTTCCCTTTATTCATTCATATGAGCTTCTTTGTTTATTTTGAATGGATGGATGAATGTTTGATTCACTGGGGATTATTTACCCTCCCCATATCTATTTATTAAACTGGAAAAGACTGGTGCTATTTCTCTGTGGGTTTTCATAACATCTCAGAAGGAAAAGTGGGTTAAGACAAAGTCTCGTATATAAAAGGACTTTGTGTTTCCTACACTTGAGTGTAGCACAAGAGGAAAAATCTTAGTGGAGAAAAACCATGAATGTCTTAGAGTAAAACAATGGAAGAGGTTAGGAGAAGGGAGATAATTCATCCATTAAGATAAATTAGTATATAATATAATCTCATGGTATTTTTCATTGTTTGAGGATTAATGTGTGGTACTTTGACGTGGGAAAGTATATCAGGGATATTTCCTAGTGCTCTTTTGGCCTTAGCACTAAAGCTCTAGGACTAGGATATGTCAGCTTGTCACAAGCTATTTTCTGTTCATGCCACAGTGGGCAGTCATTCCTCCCAGGAGCACAAAGAGCGTCTTGGAAAGAGCCAATATACATGAAACTTGAGAAGGAAATACCCTTCAAAAATAACATCAGAAAGACATCAAGAAATGGCAAAAATTACCTAATGTGGGTTTGACACACCCAGCATTCTACTGTGTTTATTTGTATAAAACTGATTTTGTAATTTGTTCTCTGTGAATTGAAAGGCCTGCCAATCTTGAGCCATTTTTTTTCTAGTTATTAGAGGGCCCATTCTATGGACAGAAGGGATTGCAATCTAAGCCATCACAATAGCCATTTGATGTTGGTGTAGGGCTCTTAGGTACTCAATTTTTACTCAGAAAAAGCACAGCGCTCTCTCCGGAGCATAGCTCTGTCCAGAAAATAGCATTTTCCATTTGGTCCTAGGGATAAGGCTTCTCAGGCACTTGTGTGATTATAATACTGATTTTGGAGACTGACAGGATGTTGTTCTTCTGAATGCCATTGCATGACCTCCATATATGGGGGAGGCTGAGGTGGCCTCAGAGCCACAGCTTCATCCTGAGAAACATCTGTTTTGTTTCAAAGCAACAAGAATAGGAGCTACTTTACATGTGGAAATATTAATGACAAATGATTCACGAAACTGGTCCAGAATCACGTTTTTCCTTGATTTATCACATGCTATTTTTTCCTTCTGTTCTTTGACCACCTTTCCGCAAACCACTTGATGAAGAACATCAACTACTAGAGAAATAAAATGGGACTATAGCTCATGACAGAGACCATTCATAAATTCAAAGATATATAGAGGCCCCATCTAGAAATTCATATGTAATCTTTGCAAATGTTACAAATCTGAGGGTTTTTATTTTAAGGTCCCCTAAGAGACAAAATATTTGAAAATGCACATCCCTGGTTTCTTTTTCCCATGTGATTACCTTCCTTCTCTTCCTGTACTTTCAGATTAACATTATAATCAAATAGAAATACACCTCTCAACAAACAGACTGGTGTTTCCAGCCAGAGTACATGAGAAGAGGGACAGATGCAATTTCCATATTGTCCAAACAAATGCATTTATTTCAGGTCAACTATTGAGGAAATTCAGCAATGTTCCTAAGGAGACAAATACAATATGTTGGTTCAGAGCATACTGGCTGGGTTTGAATCCTGGCTCTGTCCCTTATTAGCTATGTAGATGTGGACCCATTACTAAACTTTCTGTGCCTGGGTAGCCTAATCTGTACCATGGGGTAAGACTAGATCATGACTCAAAGGATGGTATTATGTTACATGAATAATTAGAACTACATATCTGTTGGGGTGGCTGGTGGCTCAGTCAGTTAAGTGTCCAACTCTTGCTTTGGCTCAGGTCATGATCTCACAGTTCATGAGTTCAAGTCCCACACTGGGCTCTGTACTCACAGTGTGGATCCTGCTTGGTATTCTCTCTCTCTCTCTCTCTCTCTCTCTCTCTCTCTCTCTCTCTCCCCCTCCCACACGTGTTCTCTCTCTCAAAATAAATAAAGAACTGTATATCTGTATGTAGTAAATATACACTAAGTGTTATTGATTATTTTTTTTTAATGTTTGTTTATTTTTGAGAGAGAGAGCACAAGTGGCAGAGGGGCAGAGAGCAAGGGAGACGCAAAATCTGAAGTAGGCTCCAGGCTCTGAGCTGTCAACACAGAGCCCGACACGGGGCTCAAACTCACAGACCACGAGATCATGACCTGAGCTGAAGTCAGACGCTCAATCAACTGAGCCACCCAGGCACCCCTGTTATTGATTATTCTAGAAGTTTCAAAATAAATAATCCTCCCAGTGCCCATTAGAAAATACAGAATTACTGGATTTTAGAGTTTTTCTGCACAAATTGCAATAGCAATTTCTTAAAAACATTTTGTGATAAAATGGTAATAGATGAAAAGAAGTGTCATTATAAACATAATATTATTTCCAGATTGAGGAAAATATAGTATATTAAGTCTTTAAGATTTAGAAGTACATTCTGAGACACAAGATGAAATTATTCCCTGAAACCTGACTTTTAAGATAATACACAAATAAATGTATAAAATTTTTAAAAATTTAATGATCAATGCAACATGCATCTCTCCTTGACAGATCCAAAGAGAAGTAGAAATTAGTAATAGTCTTGAAGAAAGAGTTAAGAGACTCTTAAGAGTGAAGAGTTAAGAGACCACTAAATTTGTGACCATAAACCACAAGGAAAAAGAAAAACTCATTACTACCTCACTTGCCCCTAGCAATCCAGAACATTCTCTAGAAATTGACATCTTTTCAATTGGCAGTGAACTTCATGTATTCACCTGGCAGTGAATTTTGTGACTAAATCCCAGTGGTAATTTTATGTCACGTATCCTTTACCACAATTTTAAAAAAAAATTTTTAAAGAGAGGACCTTGGAAAACTCATGAAGTCCTCAAATACTTTTGGAAAAACTACTCCTTTTATGATGATGTGAAAGTCAAGCATGAAGTGTTATTACATCAGAGCATTACAAGCTCCCCTAAACACTCAACTGTATTTATTCTTTCTGAGAATTAATGCACTGGTGAAATTAAAAGCTATATCCTGGGGGCGCCTGGGTGGCACAGTCGGTTAAGCGTCCGACTTCAGCCAGGTCACGATCTCGCGGTCCGTGAGTTCGAGCCCCGCGTCAGGCTCTGGGCTGATGGCTCAGAGCCTGGAGCCTGTTACCAATTCTGTGTCTCCCTCTCTCTCTGCCCCTCCCCCATTCATGCTCTGTCTCTCTCTGTCCCAAAAATAAATAAACGTTGAAAAAAACATTAAAAAAAATAAATAAAAGCTATATTCTGTTTAAATAAATTTATGTTAAAAGAAAAACTGAAATCGTAATTTATGAGACATAAAGAGAAGTGAGCAAATGATGACACCTTTTTAGGGACTGCCACTAAGCATCTCCCAAAACTACATGCACTGTCCTCAGTCCTGCATGGGCACTCCCCAGAGCTGATGAGTCTGGCTGTGTCTCTGCCTCAGGCAAGCCATTTGATATCTGGACTTCACTTCTCATTTTCCAGAATGAAAACCTTGGGCTAGTATGATCTCCTAATATACCTGGTGGCTCAAACATTCTGTAATTCTATCACTGTTGCAGACTCCAGCACTGATACCTGATTTGAAGCCTCTTTTTCCCAAGCATGAAAATGATCATCTTAGGTAACCAAAGAATCCTAGAAATAAGTGTGGACTGTCAAAATGTTTTTTATTCTTGCTGCAGGATTTTATCTACTGCCAAAGCAATTTTATAAAAACTTCTACTCAGTATTCAAGAGATACATTTCTTTTCCCCAGAGAGAATTAATCATAGGCAAGGACTGGAAAAGGCAGTTTCCCCAGACGAAGCTTAAGCACACTCCCTCTGAGAAACTCATTCTATTTTAATTTGCCAATTAAAAGTGGCCTGGGAAATCACACATTGTTGTTATCTCATTAAAAATACTATACTTGTCACTCTCTTTCCTCTCTCTGGAAAAAGAACACTCAAGTAGCCCAGCTGCTCCCCACAGCTTAAATTTGATAGTACCCTTAAAAGATTGGCTTTATCTAGGGTCCATTGAGGATGGCACCTTCTGCTGTTATTACTGCCACGAATTCCACAGATCTCTAGTCACTGACACTATTTATTGGATATTTACTATATCCATGAAATTTACTAAGCATTGAGAAGATTAAAAGGTACTAAAAAGCTTGTATTCAGCAAATTAATGGCCACTTTCATTGCAAAACAGAGCCTTGTATCAAGGTCTTTTAAAGATCCCAGCCGTAGCATCTTTTGGTTCTATTTGGCTCTTATTCGATCCCTCCCCATCTGTCTTGCTGATCCGTGGAATGCCATTACAAGCATGGTACTGATGGTTGAGATTACACCCCTGTAATAATTTTTAAAAGCTCAATCTTTGTTGGCATGACAGTCACAAATTGCCTACTCTTATAAACTATATATTGAGTTGACATCATGTATGGGGAAATAGAATGATTTGAATTGGTTATTTGTTACTACTTCTCAGTTTCTAGTGAACCATAAAATGACTATAGGGCAGGAGAAAGCTGGAAATACTGCAAAGATTTTGAATAATGGCTTGTATTTAATAATGCCCCTCTGAATAATGTAATAATAAATGATAAAGTCACGCCACTGACTTCCTGCATGTACTTGAACATGATTCTGTGTATATACCTGCAGGTTATTATGTATTGCCAAAGATACATCCTCAAGGAGTCCATTGACTTCTGCTTAATAAAAACATAAATTACTATAGCTCACCGGGGGAAAGGCACTCTGCCTGTCTTTACTCAAAGGGTATGATTACCTTATTGCCTTGAAATCCCTTCGGGCCTGGATCCCCTGGAGGTCCACTAATGCCCTGCTCCGAGGTGAAAACCAACAATTAGTTCTATATATAAAAGGCCAACCAAGAAGGAATTATTCATTAAGGTCCCTAGAGATCCTGAATTTAGAAGTCAGACTAAATATCTCAGAGTTAAGTTAGGGTTAAATGTGACTGAGAAATGGAATGAGATAAAATTCCTCCTGTCAAATAGGCAGCTTCTAAAATACTATACTTAAGCTGAGAACAAACATTTATTAATGAGGTGTTTGCTTTCTAAGCCTGTTTCCAACCTTATCCCTGTGCTGGACACCCTTCTTAAAGAATTTTGAATGAGCAACTTTTTTAAATAGCTAAGGCATTTATAACTGGAAGTTGGAGCTTCCAATGACCCTGTGATAACCAGAGTTACTGCCCTGTGTTGACACAATTCCAGACCAGAGCAAAGGAGTTGATGGTTAATTAGATGCTGTCTGGGAAATCTTGAGCCAAGTTACAATTTTCAGTAGACTTTTTGAAATACATAAATGAACTCTTCATATACATACATCCTCCCCCCCCCCCCCCCCCCATGAAAACTTTAGACTGGGCAAGTCCCCAGACTGGGAAAAAACAGATCTAAATTATTTTCTGAAATCCATGGAATATGTCTAACTTAAATAAATGCCTTCAAAATCTTTTCCATGCTATTGAACTTTAAGTACTTATAATGAGCATTCCATGTTTTTGAATATTAAGTACTGTATCTAAATTACACATAGTGTAATTAGATAAAATGCATAGTTCTTCCAACTATATTATACTAGCAAAGCAAAAATAGTTACATCCTTCTTTTAACTGCTTTGACTTCACTCATCTTCCTAACTCGAATTTTTAAACTTCTATCCCTCTACTAAGTAAACTCACCTGCTGGTACCTATCTTTGGGGAGCCTGAATTAGTCATTCAAAACATTAGGGCAGTGATTTCCAAACTTTGTTGCACATTGAAATCACCTGGGGATCTTTAAAACTACTGATGCCTGGCTCCAATCCCTAGACATTCTAATTGAATTGGCAGAGGGAGCAAATGGGCAAACAGATTTTTAAAGCTTCCTAGGTGATTCTAATTCAGATATAGATTTGGTTTAGCCTCCTTACCTGAAGTCCTCTGGGTCCCTTTGGTCCATACGGCCCTAAGGATCCCTGTGGAATAAAATTAATGGTAAGTTGCTCTAAGTATCCATCTTCAAAATGCAATGATTTTAGGTAGAGGAGAAAAGAATGTGTTCTCAGTGATGGCCAATCTTCCCACTTTATCCAAACAGCAAAGCAAACCGATACATTGTCAACAAAATGATCCTAAATAATAAGCCAATTTGAGGTCAGATTTTCCTTCAGTAAACTCCATGAAAACAGTTTTAGATGTAAGTCCTTCACCTGTATATTGAAATTTTGGTCAGAGCAAACAATTTATTCCTTACAATTCCTTAGAAAAAGTACAGTTGGTGGAATATTGTTTCTTTCCAACAAGGCAAAATCAGTTAAATTAACAATTTAGTGAGTTTCCACAATGTCTAGATCACTCTTTTGCCCATCTTCAAGACATGCAACTTGACAAAACACTGTTTATACTCAATACTCTCTAATAGAAGATATTGCAATATGTTCCATAACTAGGAAACCCTTTGAAATTTATTTTTATGAGAATATAGTATAGTCTAATCACTCTTTTCTCAGATTTTCATTTTTCTGCTTAGCAAAATATAACCTGTTCACAATAGACACACCTTGGCAATTAAAGGAAAAAAGTAAAGAAACAGAAAAAAATCACACAGATGCAACTGCTATTAACATTTTAGGCATATAGAATATTTTTCTTCAAATAATTGATTCAAGTGTGTATACAATCTTGTGTCCTACTTATTTGGTCTTCCATTGTATCAAAAATATTTTTCCATGTAATTAAAAACTCTTAGTAAATGGAAAAATATTCAAGAATATGTATCTATTATAATTTACTTATTTCCCTAGTTTTGGCATTTAAATTGTTTCTGATGATTATTATTTTAAATAATATTATAATGAATATCTTTGTTTATAAGTCATGTCCAACTTCTGAAAGATTCCTGAAGGTAATGTCCTGGAAGAGGATGACAGACACAGAGATGATGAACACATTCAAGGCTCTCTCGCTCTCTTTTGTGTCTCACACCAATACATGGGAAGAAAAAGCAAAGCTTTCCTCCATAGTTTGCTCAGATTTCCATTCTTACTACCTGAGTAGAGAATGTGCATCTCCACCTTAACAGACACCCCCATCAATGCTGAGTATTGTCTATTATCCCAGTGTTTGCTAATTTGATAAGTGAAATAATATTTTAATGTGTTAATTTCACTTCTCTGATCGCTGATGTATTGGGTTTTTTTCACTTATTAGCCATTTATAGATCCTCTCTTGTGTCTCTTCATGTTCTTTATAGTCTGACTTAAGAACTTATATGAACTCTTCATGTCAAGGATGCTGTATTTCATTGACTCTAGACATGCATTTTTTTTCAGATCTTTACATCTCTAATATCAAGATACGTCTTATAATCAATTGCATCTTCTGTTTGTAATTGGCAGCACTTTTTCTTTCTTTTTGGCACAGAATATAATAGGGCATTTCACAACCCCTGACATCTTAGTCAATGAAGTATGATGATTAGCTCTTTATCAACCATTCTCATTTCAAACAGTTTTCAACAGTTACTGTTTAACTTTCATTTTTGTTCTTCTCTGTCCCCTTCTGTATTTTCAAGTCTGTGTCCACCTCCCATTTTCAATTACCCTCCAGGCAGAATCCATTCATTACTACAGTTTTCATTTTGCCCAGAGATAATTATCAAGCCTACATTTTTTTTCAGATCCACCTGGCCTTTAACTCTACAGTACTTTAAAAGCTTTCACAAAAGTCTCAAGCTATTTAAAGTGCTTAGTTACATAGGCCAGTGTTATCATCTTATTCTCTGCTTTTCACCTTCTGCCTCATTTTTTCTCCTTGACTCTCTCCCATAATTAAAATACAGATATTGAATGAGTTGAGTATCTTGGTAGCATGCTGTTAATAGTTCTTCACTATAATGAAAACTATTTTTACTCTGTACATTTTTGGATGCTCTGTCATTAAGTTTCAAATGTACTGTCTGTATATTTCTGACCCATTTAATATTGTCTCCATTTTAAATACTTTATTCATATTTATTTTTTAACGAAAGGTTAAGACCCACCCAATTGCCTGTGGTGTACTGCAGTTTCAAAATTTCAATCCCCTATCTATGCCTAGTTCTGCCACATTATTTATAACTATTTCATTAACTTATTCCATAGAGTTCTTCACTCTATTTTGGAAAGTGCTTGTCAGTGTTTACATCTGGAAAACAATTCCAGATGCAAAGACCCAACTGGAGCTTGAACTGACTTTGCTGGTTAAATTATCCTTTTTTGCCATAAAATTCCATAGGCCTAGCCTCAAAGGTTAGGGGGCCACAAAGCACCGTCTTAAAGATCCATATGAAAGGTATGTGGAGGCTCCATTAAGTAAAGTTAGGTATAGTTTTGTTTTCTGCTTCATGTTTTACAGACGTGAAAATTGAGCCAGTAACTTTCCAACTCCAGGAGTGAGAGCAAGGTAATGCATCCCAGGAATTTCCTCTTAGGGAAACTCAGCCCAAAGGGATCCCAGCTGTTAGCATTTTAAAAACATGTTCCTTACTTTGTCACCTTTTATTCCTGGTTTTCCACATTCTCCATTTTCACCCTAAAAAATAAAGAAATGAAACAAATAAGAAGACCTTTGCAGTTGTTTGGGGTTAGGATGTTTTAAAAAGTTTTCTTATGACATAAGCACTCTGATGGGTTTTACACAATTTTATCCTGAATCCTGTGGGTTATTTGGGCATTACACTCTGAAAAATTTTATCCATGAGTCATCTTCCACTTGACAGAATCAAATCAGTGATACCACCTAGTAAGGTTTGACATTTTTGAAAGGGAGATGACATTTAAAGGAAAGAAACTAAGGTTTACCGAGTATCCACCATATGCTCTTTGTGATTTAAGTGAATCCACATTACAGCTCAATGAGATCAGTTTTACAGTTGTATTTTGTAGATGAGAAAACTTAAGTTCACCCAGATAACTTTCCTCAAATAAGCAGCTCTGATTCAGAGTCCCTATTTTTGCCACACTATACTCCACCCTGAATACCAGCTTTGATCAATTAGTAGTGTTTGCCCAGAGAACTGTGAGAGAAAGGTCCTGAGACCACATCGTGGCTTGGTGGGGAAAGGAGCCAGGAAGAATTAGCAAGGTCTGCTGGGGACGGGCATGGTGGCAAGAATGCCATATATTTCCAACACACTCTACTGCCCTGCCTTTCCTGGCATATTAATGAAAAAAGAACTAACATTTAAACTGTGCTTTACAGTTTATGATTAATTTTATTTAGCAGACATTATCTCAGGTAAGCTGACATTAACTGTCTGACACAGATATTATTAGCCCAATTTTACAGACTGAGAATTTGTGATTCAGAAGGTTAAGTACCTTGCTCATGTAGAATGAGAATTGGGACCTCTGAATACTAATCCATTGTATCAGACTTCTAAGACTTTGCATAATTAGAACCAAAATGTATCAAAGGCAATTAGAAAAACAGCTAAAGTTAAAATTTTCAAGTGCTTTCATGCTTTTATCTGAGCCTCAAAGCAATTGATTAAAATTTTTTTTTATATGAGCCTCAGCAATCAGACAACACAAAGAAATAAAAGGCACCCACATCGGCAAGGAGGAAGTCAAACTTACACTCTTTGCAGACGATGTGATACTCTGTGTGGAAAATCTAAAAAACTCCACCAAAAAACTGTGAGAACTGATCCATGAATTCAGCAAAGTTGCAGGATATTGAATCAATGTATAGAAATCAGTTGCATTTCTATACACCAATAATGAAGCAGCAGAAAGAGAAATCAAGGAATCGGTTCCATGTACAATTGCACCAAAACCCATAAAATACTTAGGAATAAACCTAACCAAAGAGGTGAAAAATCTACACACTGAAAACTATAAAACACATTAAAAAGATTGCAGAAGACACAAAAAAATGGAAAAGCATTCCATGCTCATGGATTGGAAGAACAAATATTGTTAAAATGTCAATGCTACCCAAAGCAATCTACATATGCAATGCAATCCCTCTCAAAATAACACCAGGATTCTTCACAGAGCTAGAATAAATAATCCTAAAATTTGTATGGAACCAGAAAAGACCCAAATAGCGAAAGCAATGCTGAAAAAGAAAACTGGGGCACCTGAGTGGCTTAGTCAGTTAAGTGTCTGACTTAGGCTCAGGTCATGATCTCACTGTTTGTGAGTTTGAGCCCTACGTCAGGCTCTGTGCTGATAGGTTGAAGCCTGGAGCCTGGAGCCTGATTCAGATTCTGTGTGTGTGTCTCTCTCTCTCTCTCTGCTCCTCCCCACCCTCTCTTTCAAAAATAAATAAACCTTAAAAATAAATTAGAAAAAGAAAACCAAAGGTGGAGGCATCACAGTTCCAGACTTCATGTTGTATTACAAAGTTGTAATCATCAAGACAGTATGTTACGGCACAAAAACAGACACTCAGATCAATGGAACAGAATAAAGAACCCAGAAATGGGCCTACAAATGTATGGCCAACTAATCTTTGACAAAGCAGGAAAGAATATCCAATGGAAAAAAAGACAGTTTCTTCAGCAAATGGTGTTGGGAAAACTGGACAATGACATGCAGAAGAATGAACCTGGACCACTTTCTTACACCATACACAAAAATAAACTCAAAATAGATGAAAGACCTAAATGTAAGACAGAAAGCCATTAAAATCCTACAGGAGAAAACAAGCAAAAACTTCTTTGACCTTGGCCGCAGCAACTTCTTACTTGACATGTCTTCAGAGGCAAGGGAAATAAGAGAAAAATGAACTATTGGGACCTCATCAAGATAAAAAATCTTCTGCATAGCAAAGGAAACAGTCAATAAAACGAAAAGGCAACAGATGGAATGGGAGAAGATATTTGCAAACGACATATCAGATAAAGGGTTAGTATCCAAAATCTATAAAGAACTTATCAAACGCAACACCCAAAAAAAGAACTAACACCCAAAAAATGAGCAAAAAACATGAATAGACACTTTTTCAAAGAAGACATCCATATGGCTAACAGACACATGAAAAAAATACTCAACATCACTCAGCATCAGGGCTGATGTGGCAAATCAAAACCACAATGAAATTCCACCTCTGACACCTGTCAGAATGGCTAACATTAACAACTCAGGCAACAACAGATATTGGTGAGGTTACGGAGAAAGAGGAATGCTTTTGCACTGGAGGTAGGAATGGAAACTGGTGCAGCCACTCTGGAAAACAGTATGGAGGTTCCTCAAAAAATTAAAAATAGAACTACCCTATGACCCAGCAATTGCACTACTAGCTATTTATCCAAAGGATACACGAGTGCTGATTCGAAGGGGCACATGAACCCCAATGTTTATAGTAGCACTAGTGACAATAGCCAAAGTAAGGAAAGAGCCCAAATGCCCACCAACTGATGAATGGATAAAGAAGATGTGTTATATATACAATGGAATATTACTCGGCAATCAAAAAGAATGAAAACTTGCCATTTGTAACAATGTGGATGGAAAAAGAGTGTATTACGCTAAGTGAAATAAGTTAGAGAAAGATAAACACCATATGATTTCACTCATATGTGGAATTTAAGATACAAAACAGATGAACATAAGGGAAGGGAAGCAAAAATAATATAAAAACAGAGAGGGAAACAAATGATAAGAGACTCTTAAATACAGAGTACAAACTGAAGGTTGCTGGAGAGGAGCTGGGTAGTGGGATGGGTAAATGGGCAAGGGGCATTGAGGAGGACACTTGTTGGGATGAGCGCTGAGTGTTACATGTAAGTGATGAATCACTAAATTCTATTCCTGAAATTATTATTACACCATATGTTAACGAACCTGGATTTAAATTAAAAATAGAATAAAATCAAATAAAAATGTTTTATTTGAGCATAATTGACACACAGTGTTACATTAATTTCAGGTGTACAACATAGTGATTCAACTTCTCTATACACCATGCAATGTTCACCGCAAGTGAAGCTACCATCTGTCACCATACGATGCTGTTACAATATCATTGACTCTATTCCTTAAAAGCCATTCATGTATTTAAGATATGGCAACTCAACTGGAGAAGTTAAATGAATTACTTAAATGCACATGCTAGCCAGTGGCTCCTAGTCCAGTGACCTCACCACTGCTTTATCATCCATGTGCTGTAAGCATGCTTCTCAAAATGCCACCTCACAGTGACATAAGAAACTTGCACTACAATGATCAGTGCCCTGCTTCCTTCATTAAAGGAGTCATGCTGTGAAAAATTAATGTCAACTGAACTAAACAGTGTGTTTAGTGATATAGTGGGTTTATATTCTGGTGCAATCTTTATGTCATGACAAAATACCATCAAGCAGTTCACAGGTTGACGGCCAGCATACAGACCACACTTTGAATAGCTCCACTCTAAGAAGGGAAATAACCATTGTAACCACCAATTATGGATCCAAAGTCCAAACCTTTACATTACTGCTAATTCCCACAGCAGATTAGATTAGAGAGAGAGAGAGAGAGATCTCCATTCATAGATGAGGAAAAGGAGACTCCGAGGGATTAAATAGTTTGCCCGTGACCACAAGCTTGAGTCTGTTAGATTCCCAAGTCCATGGTCATCAGCCACTCAAAGCTGAACAAGGCATACCACCATGGTCTGCAAGATAGTTTCCACTAGCCTAGAGTACTACATGGGGTGTCGCTGGCATCAGGAGCAAGAAAGAGGGAGGTACAATTCCTAGATCCAGCTATGCCTCTGTTCAAAAGCAATCTGTTCTCTCTCCACATCATATTGTGAGTCAGACTGACCCAGGAAAAACTGAGCTTTCACTTAGAACAAGTTGAACATTTATTTCTGAATGCAAATGGAAACTCACTCTTGAAGAGTCAATTAGAAAGCAATTAATTTAATAATGTTGGATGGGAATAAATGAGTCAACCACCAAAATATAAAACAGAAAAGTACCATAAATACACTCAAAATTCTTTTGGCCAGAATTCACATTCCATTTGTCCAGACAGATTTGTTAGCTATAGGTCCTGAGGAACAGCATTTGTTTTGGGAGCAGACTTCCATCAATGAAAATATTGTACTCCTGTTATTCGCCTTTGTAAAGGCGTTTTCTTTTTTGGTGGGCTCAGTAATCCCTGTGGAATGGCCACAATTACAATTTCACAGAGCAAGTGCTTCAGAAAGCTATGAACAGATTAGCTCTGTTCCCAGACTCTGATTTCTGATGCTGCTGTTCCTGGTGAAATTCTGGTTTGAATGTCAATGGTTCAGGGTCACTCTACCCTGACAACTTGTATTTTCCAAATGAGAGCTCCACCAGTGATTCTATAATTTCCCAGAAGGTTAAAATGAGTCTTTTCATATATATAAATATATAAACACACACATATATACTATATTTGTAGTATACTATATGCTATATAATATATATATAGTATATATACATAGCACTATATATACTATATAGTGTGTGTTTATGCGTGTGTGTGTGTGTGTGTGTGTGTATGTATATATATTTAGTGTTCATGAGTAGCTCATATTATAAATCAAGATGGGGGACCTGTATAATTTTCTTCAACTATACATAGGACAATTTTATAATCATCAAATTTTCTTAAATTTCCTATTTTATCATTTGTTCTCTGCCTCTTCATAACAGCACCTTGCATTTTATCGACCAGCAAACAGCTTATAAGACATTGTCACATCCATTATTTCATTTGCTTCTGTAACCACCCTGTAAATTAGAAGGCCTATATTAATCCAGCTCTATATGGATGAAGAAACAAACACTTAACATTTCTAGTGACTGGGGACAGATTTATTTGCCTGTATGGAGACTCACCTCTAATATTTGCAGGGCCCAGGGCAAGACTGCAAACAGAGGCCTACGTACCATGTATCTAAACAGCTGAAAGTTATAAATTAAGCTAATAACCAACCTAGTAATGTTCTAGCTTCCTTTTTTGACAAGTATCAATAAGAATAAAAATGAAAGAATTGTGGTATTCCTTAGAGGTCTAAGTGCTAGTACAACCCCATGCCCACAGCCTACAGACCAGCTCCTACTTGGCCTCTCCCCACCTTTGGTTCCTCCCAGGAGAGGAGGAACAAATGCACAAGAAGGTGCCCCAGGCAATACAATACAGTGAACCTCCCACCAGGGCCCCTTCCAGCCCCAAAACCAACTTACATTTTTTTCCCCTCAGGCCTGGGGAAAAGATGGACAAAGGAAAGATGTTTGTATCTGCCTTCAAAGCAGGCTCAGGCCATTTTGCAGGGACTTCTGGGGTCTTGGTTACCTAAAGTGTGGTCCAGGTTTAAGGGGGCATAAGCCTCATGCCCTGTAGCTTCCTGGATCCTTCGGGTGTCAGAAGGCCATAGGAGACCCAGAGAAAGACCTCTTGCCCTAGGTCTGAGGGCTGTAGACAGGATGAACGAGGACACACTCTATTTTCAGATAGAACATCTGGTGATAGAACTGTGACATTAATCTATGAATGAGCGCTTGAGGCACTTGGGTGGCTCAGTTGGTTAAGCATCTGACCTGGGCTCAGGTCATGATCTGAGTCACAGTTCCTGAGTTCCAGCCCTGCACCCGGCTCTGTGCTGACAGTTCAGAGGCTGGAACCTGCTTCAGATTCTGTGTCTTCCTCACTTTCTGCCCCTCCCCTGCTTGTTCTCTCTCTCTCTCTCTCTCTCTCTCTCTCTCAAAAATAAATAAATAAATAAATATTTTTAAAAAATCTATGAATGAACCATGAACAACTGTCAACATGGTTCTTGAGCCCCCATCCACTTTGCTAACTTTCTAATTTGTAAAGAATCATAAAATAGTCTACCAGCCCATAACTTTTGTTGGTTTGTCAAATTTATTCCCCTTGCAAGCTCCACCCAGATGTCTCACTGTATGAAGAGGTTCCTTATCGCCTAACCAGAATAAATCCTCTTGCTTCTACAAGAGGATTTGATGTCTAGGTTTTGGTGTCTAGCTTTCATAGGAAGTTAAGCATCAAGGTAGCAACCTAACTGAAGTATTGCCGCATCCATTTTTATTTGGAACTTATAGTCTGTGCTACATGGCTGGTAAATAGGGGTCCTCGTGTTTGCAGAGCTGAGAGAGGCTGGATCCTAATCTCAGGCATCTTAGGATGCTTTTCATCCCTTCCAACACATCTCCTTACCTGAAGTTTATTATTATTTTATGTTTACAGACTTAAGAGTATACTTGGGAATTAGGGAACCTAGACTTAGGAAAATAAAGGAAAACAACTTTTATTAAGTACATAAATACAGTTATGCTTCTGTTTTTCTCTCTGAAATCCTGCCCTGTCTATTCATTGTTACCAACTTACCTTCTCACCTTTGTACCCAGGGATTCCCTAGTTACAAAAGAAAAAAGAAAGAAAGAGTAAAACATATTAGAAGACATAGTTGGAGGAAGTATTTGATGTTTTTCATTTACAAAGTATAAAAAAACACATCTGTACAGTCAAGGAAAATAAGACCACACACAGAAATGTAAGCTATTTTACTTCTCTGGGGAGAAGAAAGAACCCATTTTCCTCTTTATTACATTCTATTCTCAGTTCCACATATTTTTTTCAAACCCAATTTCTTACCCTTTGGCCCAAAGCTGAAGGAGAAACTATACACTGAAACTTATAAAAGGGACGACCTACAATGCTCCATTCAAAATTGTTATATTGACTTTTAAACTATGAACTATCATAGCTGAGAATGTTTCACAGAGACTGTTAAAGAAATTGGCTTTGAAAATGAGCTGAGATAATGGCCTTTACAATGTATGTAAATATTTATATCCATTACAGTCCTCCTTTCAAATTCAGTCTCGAATATGGAACGTCAATGAAATGCATGGTTCCTTTATCAACCCTAATGAGACGGTGGCCTTTAAGGCACTATATTTTATCTCATGCTAACTATGGGGCTAACTCCTCTTCTGTGTCACTCCTGGGAATCCTACACAACCTCCTCCATTGCGTCCCTGCCTGTGAGCCCTTGAAGTAATATGATTCTGAATATTAAGTGAACTAGGAAATTAACAACTTTAAGCAAGAGCAAACCTTTTCCATATAGGACTTTATATCTTTCTCATACAACAATACCTTTTAAGTATGAAAATAAAATTGTAAGATATATTTTAAGTGAGCCGGAGAAACCGATGGAGAAACAAGCTATTATCACAATTACATGTGTCAGATGGCAAAATATTGTTTTGTATGACTTTTTTTTACAAAAGGCAAAAAAAAGGAAAACTTCGGGAAGGAAATAACACTTCTCTCCAAATGAGTGGTCACTGGGAAATTGAAACTAAAAATAGAACTACGGTCAAAAGTATTGTTATGCTGCATTTTAGTTCTTCTCAGATATGTTTATTAGCATAAAGGGTTTAGGTTTTAGTATTGTGCTTAAAATTAAAGGCCACATTATAGATAGTTAAATTGGGGTACTTTATTAAAACAATTCATGTTTGCAGCAAAAACCTTACTTTTTTATATTATACTCTTTTTTCCCCTGTTTTTCTTTCTGAACTCTCTGGTCAATTTATTGTTTGATTGTTATCAGTTTCCTTCCTTCCCTCCTGCCTTCCTGCCTTCCTTTCTTTCGTCCTTCCTTGACATCTTAATTACTTGTTTGAAAGTATTCAAATTTAAGATATCCAAAACTGCACTCATTGGTCTGCCAAATTTGTTTCCTGTTTGTATTAGTGGTGCCATCATATTTCAAATCACACAGAATCAAAAGTTTATCTTTTCTCTCTACTTGCCCCTTACATTCCTTGAATCCAACCAGTTAAAATTCTCCAACAGCTGTCACTGCATTTAGTTTTAAGTCCATCCTTTCTACTGTCCGCCCCCACCCCCCCGCCCCAGCCAGCAGGATCCTCTGTGACCCACTCCTACTTAGCTCCATAACCTGTCTACCACCACTCTGTGCCAAGTTCTGGCTTTCTTTCCATTTCTTCAGCCTACAAGCTTGTTCCCACGCAAGAGTCTTTGTACCTACTGCTCTTTCTGCCTAGAACATCCTCATGACCTGGTTTTATTTATTTATTTATTTATTTATTTATTTATTTATTTAAATGTTTATTCTTGAGAGAGAGACAGGGACAGAGACAGAGCATGCGTGGGGGAGGGGCAGAGGGAGAGGGAGACAGAATCCGAAACAGGCTCCAGGCTCCAGGCTCCGAGCTGTCAGCACAGAGTCCGACGCAGGGCTCAAACACACAAACCGTGAGATCATGACCTAAGCCAAAGTTGGATGCTTAACCGACTGAGCCAGCCAGGCACCTCACGTATGACCTGGTTTTAAATTTTTTTTTTTCCAACGTTTTTTATTTATTTTGGGGACAGAGAGAGACAGAGCATGAACGGGGGAGGGGCAGAGAGAGAGGGAGACACAGAATCGGAAACAGGCTCCAGGCTCTGAGCCATCAGCCCAGAGCCCGACGCGGGGCTCGAACTCCCGGACCGCGAGATCGTGACCTGGCTGAAGTCGGACGCTTAACCGACTGCGCCACCCAGGCGCCCCAATGACCTGGTTTTATAGGTCAAGAACACATCTCATTGATGAAATCTCATTTATTTGTTGGCCTGTTGATTGCTCACCCTGCTAGCACACTGTATGAAACAGGAACTATCAATCTTGCTCACTGTATCCCCAGCACCTAAAGAATGGCCTAGCATATACCAAGCGCTCAATACATATTTGTTGACTATATGAGTCAGTGTCGGTCCCCACAGCCTATCCTTCTTGCCTTCTATGGTTCTCACAATGTTCTCTTCTTCTCTATTCTGTCATCACTGTGGCCCCATTCTATCCAATTGAATGTGATTTAATTCCCTAATAGCCACATTAAGAAAATGACAACAGGTGAAATTAATTTTTAATAATATATTTTACTGATCCCTCTAGGTCTGAAATACAAGGGTTTCCAACATTTGGCCAATATAAAAATTATTCAAGAGATATTTTACATGTTCTTTGGCACTAAGTCATCCAAATTCATTGTGTATTTTACTCCTACAGCACACCTCAGTTCAGGCTAGCCGTGTTTCAGCTGCTCAGTAAGCACATATGGCTAGTGGCTTTCATCCTGCCTGGAGCAGCCCTAGCCAATGTCCCTGTTCTCAGACAGGCCGTAACAAAAAACCTTCTTCTAAGTACTCCTTCTTTCTGCTTATTCCCACTTCAGTTTCCCCTTGAGAGTCATGCCAGATTAATCTTCCAAGTACACAGCTCTTGGGTTGCACCCTTCATTTGAAATCTCAGTCTCTCACCTAGCAGAGCCCAGATCTACAGTCGGCATGGAACATCCACTCTGCCCTTCCAGCTGTGTCTGCCAACATCCTCTTTAGGCACCTCCTCTCACCATTTTCCAACCCATAGCCTTCCCTCAGGTCGATGCTCATGGCACTCTCCATCTGGAATGATTGTCCCTTCCACCTTTCTGTTCTATCCTTTCCAGTCACAATCCTACTCTCCAGAAGTCATTCTATAAAAACCATCCCGATAGCTTCAATCTTCTCTGAAGGCCCATAATAATTTGTGCATGCAGTTTTTATAGTATTTTGACATTCTGCTTCATGGTGTAGCTATTTTTTTTTTCAAAAATTAAAGTATAGTTGACATACAATGTTGCATTAGATTCAGATCTACAACATACTGATTCAATTTCTCTATACGTTATGCTATGCTCATCACAAAGTGTAACTACAATCTGTCACCATACAATGTTCTTACATTACTGTTGACTATATTTCTTATATGGTACCTTTCATCCCTGTGACTTATTCATTCCATAACTGGAAGCCTATACTTCCTACTCCCATTCACCCATTTTGCTGCCCCCAGACTCCCTTTTGGCAACCAATATTGTAGCTATTTTAGATATTTTAATCTCTCCTATAACAAACTTTTCAAAAAATATGAGTGCTTTGTCTTAATTTCTTTTCACATAATAAAATGCTTTACATGTAGACAACACCTAAGAAATACTTCCTAAAAGAACAACACACATATCTGAATGAATTTCCATTGATTATCAATCTTTCTATTAGACTTACTCATAAAGTTGATTAAAGACACCAAGAGACCAGTTTTTAAAACCTCTGGGCCTGTCTCCTAGGCTTTTGCCAGGGGGACAGCCAGGAAGAGAAATGTGATATGGTCTTTTTTTATTCACTGTACACCCTTCTCTGCTCTTTGCAACTTTACTACAACTCCCAGAAAAATGAAAAAGAAGAAATTTTCTGTAATTATTTCTCAGGCAATCTCTAACATCTTCTAATTTTAGAGATAATAAATCAACTAGAATGCTTTTTCTTTTGTCTGCAGATCAAATTTACAAAAGCATAGTTTAGACTATTAGTTCTGTGCTCCCAGAATTTTTAACTCATTCTTTATTGGAAAAAAACAAACAAACAGAGGTGTCTGGGTGGCTTTGTTGGTTAAATGTCTGACTCCATTTTGGCTCCAGTCATGATCTCATGGTTCGTGAGATTGAGCCCCACGGCCAGCTCTGCACTGACAGTGTGGAACCTGCTTGGGATTCTCTGTCTCCCTCTTTCTCTTCCCTTCCCCCTCTCTCAAAAATAAATAAACATATTTTAAAAAAACACAAGAAGCAAAGAAAAATATTTTCCTGAGTTGGGTCTTCCACAAAACCCACTTAGGTATCCAAGAATGTCATGTGCTTGACCACCCTGTGTCATCATCACTCCTGTTGAGTAGAACATTTTCTCCCCATATTTCCATTTCCAAGGCCATGTCTGTCTGACTGCCCATCTGTACCATCAAGAGCACATGTATATGTAAGTCATTTTGGCACTTGTACTACAGGGGGCAAAATGATCATTTACAGAAACTTAGCATCCTAGTTTACATTCTGGGGAAAGCATTCCACTTGCATACATACCCCTGGGCCTCTTTCTCCAGGCTCCCCTTTTTGAGCATCACCCTGTGGGGGAGAAAAAAAACTCAGTCAAAATTCCACAGCCCTACAGAGTGACTGATTGCTCAATAAAATGCTCGGAATAAAATTATTCCGAATTCCCAGATTAATAGGTTAACCCAGTGGGGAAAAAATCTTTGGCCTTCACCATTGACATTTTCACCATGGAGTCTAGGGAAGAAAATCGCTGTTCAGATAGCCTTTGCCCTTTGCAGCGAAGCCAGATGCATAGGGTGCAGACTCCAGATACATTTTCATAGCTTAGGCCTAGGTTTGCTTCTCAGTTTAACAACACAGCCCTTGTTCTCAAATGCAGCATTGTACCCCATCGGAGCCAGGCACTCTGGCTTTTCTCCAAGGGGCTTTGGAATGTTTTCCAAGATGTCCTTAAGAGTAATTGCTTGATTTCGGCAAGACTTAGGAAAATATATGATGTGGCACAAAATTACAAGCCAAATAAATGAAATGTAAACATAAATTTAAAACGGGTGTTTAACAAAACAGAAAGAAGACACGATGGCATCATTTCGGACTCACATGATGAAGAGGTACAGTTGTGTGTGTTGTAAAGCTGCTCGAGGATTCTTCACATTCCCTTTCTTTTTGTTTTTAATTTAATTAATTTTTAAAATTTCATCCAAGTTAGTTAGCATATAGTGCTTTCAGGAGTGATTTCAGGAGTAGATTCCTTAGTGCCCCTTACCCATTTGGCCATCCACCCTCCCACACCCCTTCCAGTAACCCTCCGTTTGTTCTCCATATTTAAAAGTCTCTTATGTTTTTGTCCCACTCCCTGTTTTTATGTTATTTTTGCTTCCCTTCCCTTATCTTCATCTGTTCTGTGTCTTAAAGTCCTCATATGAATGAAGTCATAGGATACTTGGCTTTTTCTGACTGACTAATTTCGCTTAGCATAATACCCTCTAGTTCCATCCTCATAGTTGCAAATGGCAAGATTTCATTCTTTTGATTGCCGAGTAATACCCTATTGCATATATATATGCCACATCTTCCTTATCCATTCATCCATCGGTGGACATTTGGGCTCTTTCCATTCTTTGGCTATTGTTGATAGTGCTGCTATAAACATTGGGGTGCATGTGCCCCTTTGAAACAGCACACCTGTAACCCTTGGATAAATACCTAGTAGTGCAATTGCCGGGTCATAGGGTAGTTCTGTTTTTAAATTTTTGAGGAACCCCCAGACTGTTTTCCAGAGTGGATGCACCAGTTTGCATTCCCACCAGCAGTGCAAAAGAGATCCTCTTTCTCCACATCCCCGCCAATATCTGTTGTTGCCTGAGTTGTTAATGTTAGCCATCTGACAGGTGTGAGGTGGTATCTCATGGTGGTTTTGATTTGTATTTCCCTGATGATGAGTGATGCTGAGCATTTTTTCATGTGTCAGGTGGCCATCTGGATATCTTCTTGGAGAAGTGTCTATTCATGTCTTTTGCCCATTTCTTCACTGGACTATTTGTTTTTTGGGTGTTGAGCTGGATAAGTTCTTTATAGATTTTGGATACTAACCCTTTATCTGATATGTCGTTTGTAAATATCTTCTCCCATTCCATTGGTTGCCTTTTAGTTTTGCTGATTGTTTCCTTTGCTGTGCAGAGGTCTTTTATTTTGATGAGGTTCCAATAGTTCATTTTTGCTTTTGCTTCCCTTGCCTCCAGAGACGTGTTGAGTAAGAAGTTGCTGCGGCCAAGGTCAGAGAGGTTTTTGCTTGCTTTCTCTTCAAGGATTTTGATGGCTTCCTGTCTTACGTTTAGATCTTTCATCCGTTTAGAGTTTGTTTTTGTGTATGGTGTGAGAAAGTGGTCAAGTTCATTTTTCTACATGTCTCTGTCCAGTTTTCCCAGCATCACTTTCTGAAGAGACTGTCTTTATTCCATTGGATATTTTTTCTTGCTTTGTCAAAGATTAGTTGGCCACATGTTTGTGGGTCCATTTCTGGCTTCACTATTCTGTTCCATTGATCTGAGTGTCTCTTTTTGTGCCAGTTCTCTCATCTTTTCTTCTTCTTCTTCTTCTTCTTCTTCTTCTTCTTCTTCTTCTTCAAGTTTCTTTATTTGGAGAGAGAGAGAAAGAGAGAGAGAAGGACAGGGTTAGCGAGAGAGGGAGACAGAGAATCCCAAGAAGTATCCATGCTGCCAGTACAGAGCCCAATATGGGGCTTGATCTCACAAACTGCGAGATCATGACCTGAGCTGACATCAAGAGTAGGACGTTTAACTGACTGAGCTACCCAGGTTGCCCCTCTTCTCTCATCTTTGAGATTATCCCTTGGATATTAGGGAGGGAGAGACATTGTCCTCTTTTGAGCAAATCTAGAGAATCTACCTCTTCAAGACAGTGCAGTCTTCCTTGTTTGTAGTAAAAGAGAGAATACAGGTAAATCTCTGCTTGGTAGGTTAAGTTTTTTTACAGTCTTCCCTCATTTTATGGGATGGAGCTGATCAGAAATTATTGTAATGTGTAAAAAACGAATATAATGCCTGCTTAATGCAATCATTTTTCCCTTTGCCTTCAGGGTACACATGGAAACCCAGGTATCAAAGGTGAACGAGGACCAAAAGGAAACCCGGTAAATAAATAAACAGCTTTCTTTATAAACGAATGTATCTCTTTCTAGATTCATTTAAAGAACAAAACTGAAGAAAACAAAAGAGAACTGTACTATATGTCAGTGCTGGAAATATGATGATTTCTGTGAGGACTACAGGATGTTTACTTCCCATATTGTCTGGTTTGTGTTAGCTTGCATTTACAAATTCTAATATATGACCATTTTAGTTAATAAATCTGGGAAACGTAGGGATACTGAACAAATAGAAATTAGTAATTACATAATGGTGACCCTATTAATTTTTACATTGTTCCATGAATTACTAATACATATCCCATATGAAATTGATATTGGCACTTATGTTTTTTATAGATCCATTTTATGTATAACCGACCTATGATAATAATAGAAAAAACAAGTATCTCTTACTCCCAGACCATCTTCAGGCATTTCCCTAGTTCTTTTATTTGTGAGCCCATAAAAAAATATTCTAGATTAAGTTTTTAAAAATCAGATAATATTTCAGGTGATGATCTTCCAAGTTCAAGAGTGATGAAAAGAGTCATAGGAGAGAGATATAACTATGTGAAAATTTATGGCAAAATTCTATATAATGAAAAATAATAATTAAAATGAAGAGGAAAACAGGGAAATTTTGCTTTAAATACAATGGATATTGGGTTAATTTCTATAGTATATAAAGACTTTATAAAACAGATAAGGAAATATCAAACCACTAATAATTAATTGGTAAAAGGAACCAACAATTTTCAAGAAAGGAAATAAAACCAGTAAATAAAGAAGTAGAAGAATATTTATTTTCACTGTATAGTGAATAATACTTAAAAAGAGATAATGAGGTACCCTTCAATATTAATTATTCACATTTTAGAAACTTTGGAGTCCAGGGTTGTTGGGTTGTTTTTGTGTGGAGAGGGGAGCAATTTTCTAGTTCACATGGTTTGGGGTGGGGTTTTTTTGTGTATTTCAGATTAAAAAAATTTTTTATAGCAGTTAGCACAGTGATATTAAAATAATAACTAGTGATAGCAATGGGTGGTTTGTTCATTGCAAAGGTAACTTGGCATATTTTGGAAAGCAATTAGGCACTACATAAGATGTATTCAAATACTCAGAATTTAACCCAATAACTGCACTTCTGAAACTATGTTTAGGGAGGTAATGAAAAAGAGAATAAGTTAGATGCATTAAAGTATTTAGACACGTGAAAGCCAATTACTTGCTTGTCAAAGAAAGGGAATGTGAAATCCTCAACAAGATATTAGCCAACCGGATCCAACAATACATTAAAAAAATTATTCACTATGACCAAGTAGGATTTATACCTGGGATGCAGGGTTGGTTCAATAACTGCAAAACAATCAATGTGATTCATCATGTCAATAAAAGAAAGGACAAGAACCACATGATCCTCTCAACAGATGCAGAAAAAGCATTTGACAAAATACAGCATTCTTTCTTGGTAAAAACCTTGAAGAAAGGAAGGATAGAAGGATCATACCTCAAGATCATAAAGCCATATATGAAAGACCCAACGTTAATATCATCCTCAATGGGAAAAAACTGAGAGCTTTCCCCCTAAGGTCAGGAACAAGACAGGGATGTCTCCTCTCACCACTGTTATTCAACATAGTATTGGAAATCAGTCTCTGCAATCAGACAACACAAAGAATAAAAGGCATCCAAATCAGCCAGGAGGAGGTCAAACTTTCACTCTTCGCAGATGACATGATATGCTATATGGAAAACCTAAAAGATTCCACCAAAAAACTGCTAGAACTGAGTCATGAATTCAGCAAAGTTGCAGGATATAAAATCAATGTTGAGAAATCGGTTGCATTGCTATACACCAACAATGAAGCAACAGAAAGAGAAATCAAGGAATCGATCCCATTTATAATTGCACCAAAAACCATAAAATATCTAGGAATAAACCTAACCAAAGAGGTGAAAAATCTACACACTGAAAACTATAGAAAGCTTATGAAAGAAATTGAAGAATACACACACACACACACACACACACACACACACACAAAGGAAAAATATTCCATGCTCCTCAATAGGAAGAACAAATATTGCTAAAATGTCAATACTATCCAAAGCAATGCACATATTCAATGCAACGCCTAAAAAATAACACCAGGATTCTTCACTGAGCTAGAACAAACAATCCTAAAATTTGTATGGAACAAGAAAAGACCCTGAATAGCCAAAGCACTCTTGAAAAAAAAAAAAAAAGCAGGAGGCATCACAATACTGGACTTCAAGTTGTATTACAAAGTTGTAATCATCAAGACAGTATTGTACTGGCACAAAAAGAGACACTCAGATCAATGGAACAGAATAGTGAAGCCAGAAATGGACCCACAAACATGTGGCCAACTAATCTTTGACAAAGCAAGAAAAAATATCCAATGGAATAAAGACAGTCTCTTCAGAAAGTGATGCTGGGAAAACTGGACAGAGACATGTAGAAAAATGAACTTGACCACTTTCTCACACCATACACAAAAACAAACTCTAAACGGATGAAAGATCTAAACGTAAGACAGGAAGCCATCAAAATCCTTGAAGAGAAAGCAAGCAAAAACCTCTCTGACCTTGGCCGCAGCAACTTCTTACTCAACACGTCTCTGGAGGCAAGGGAAGCAAAAGCAAAAATGAACTATTGGAACCTCATCAAAATAAAAGACCTCTGCACAGCAAAGGAAACAATCAGCAAAACTAAAAGGCAACCAATGGAATGGGAGAAGATATTTACAAACGACATATCAGATAAAGGGTTAGTATCCAAAATCTATAAAGAACTTATCCAGCTCAACACCCAAAAAACAAATAGTCCAGTGAAGAAATGGGCAAAAGACATGAATAGACACTTCTCCAAGAAGATATCCAGATGGCCACCTGACACATGAAAAAATGCTCAGCATCACTCATCATCAGGGAAATACAAATCAAAACCACCATGAGATACCACCTCACACCTGTCAGATGGCTAACATTAACAACTCAGGCAACAACAGATATTGGCGGGGATGTGGAGAAAGAGGATCTCTTTTGCACTGCTGGTGGGAATGCAAACTGGTGCATCCACTCTGGAAAACAGTCTGGGGGTTCCTCAAAAATTTAAAAACAGAACTACCCTATGACCCGGCAATTGCACTACTAGGTATTTATCCAAGGGTTACAGGTGTGCTGTTTCAAAGGGGCACATGCACCCCAATGTTTATAGCAGCACTATCAACAATAGCCAAAGAATGGAAAGAGCCCAAATGTCCACCGATGGATGAATGGATAAGGAAGATGTGGCATATATATATGCAATAGGGTATTACTCGGCAATCAAAAGAATGAAATCTTGCCATTTGCAACTATGAGGATGGAACTAGAGGGTATTATGCTAAGCGAAATTAGTCAGTCAGAAAAAGCCAAGTATCCTATGACTTCATTCATATGAGGACTTTAAGACACAGAACAGATGAAGATAAGGGAAGGGAAGCAAAAATAACATAAAAACAGGGAGTGGGACAAAAACATAAGAGACTTTTAAATATGGAGAACAAACGGAGGGTTACTGGAAGGGGTGTGGGAGGGTGGATGGCCAAATGGGTAAGGGGCACTAAGGAATCTACTCCTGAAATCACTCCTGAAAGCACTATATGCTAACTAACTTGGATGTAAATTATCTAAAAAAATAATTAAATAAAAAGAAAAATAATAAAATTTAAAAAAAAGAAGAAGAAGAAAATATGAGAGAAGAGAATGCTCCAATCCTGTTCCAGAAAGGCGTTTTGTTTTTCCATTTTCAACCGCCATAAAGCTGGCTTTTCTGAGAGTTTTTAGGGAGACTCAGTAAATGCTAAATGACATAGTTTTGTGTCTATCTCTATTAAAACAAGGTATGTTACAGCATAGGGAATATAGTTAATGGTATTGTAATAGTGCTGTATAGTGACAGATGGTAGCTGCACTTGTGGTGAACACAGCATCATGTATAAACTCGTTGAATTACTGTGTTGAACACCTGAAGCTAATATAACATTGTGTGTCAACTCTACTTCCGTTAAAAAATGGTACATTAATCTCTAACAATATTGAGTGACTAAAATTGTCAGATTAGCTCAGCAACTAGTAAATTTTCTTTACAGTTCATTCTAAAACATAATTGAATATCCCAAGTACACCTTCCCAGAAAACCTCTTGGTGTAATAAACATAAGTGAAGACTTTATAAGAAGGGGAAGTTTAAACCTTTGCTTTGGCCCAAATCAGCTTCTACTGGCTGCCACATTATCCTATAACGTATCTAACTTACATTTTGGAGAAAAAAAATAAAGGACAGACCCTCCTGCTTTCTAATGCCTCAATTGATAGAATGGTTTGAAAAAATATAGTCTTTGGACCCAAGTCTCAAGAGAAAATGTGCACAGTCTAAGCAATTCACAGTGCACATTCCGCTCCCTGCCCCCAAATACAAGCATTCGTTCAAAAACTGTATCAATGCATTTTTGTGAGATATGTCCACTGGGCTTATGACCTCAAAGGTTTGAAACAACATAAGTAAATGGAATACTGAATGAGCAGCATGGATGCATCAGAATGAAATGTATTAGAGAAATATATAGTATCTCTACCCTTGTGATGTTTTTTCAAGTCCCTTCCCAGTACCTAGATGGTACCTTCCAGATGTTAGGCCAGAATATAAAGGAAACGCTCCTTTTGGGATTTTCTTATCAAGTATTGAATCATCATAGTAAATCCTGCCTTTAACCTTTAGTTGCCAAGTTCCATTTCACAGGATTCACTCTAATCCCCAAAGCTTCCTGACCAGCTTCCTCCCTGAGAGGCCCACACAGTGTTGCTCTTGGATACATGTGAAGTCACAGTTAGCTTCCAGAGAGATCCGTGTCACTTGTTCTTAGGTGGAGTGGGATAAAGCTTTCCCTAAAGCACCAAGGATTTGTATGACCTTTTTCTTTGTTTCCACTTCAGTGTTGAGAAATTCTGGCCCCAATTGTCACATCAGACGTGATCCTGAAATATCCTTTGTGAGAACAGCTTCATCATTTTAAACCAAATCTGCCTTCAGTTCAGTTCAGGTCAGGAAAATCCCAGGCCTGTTTGTAAGGACAGAGTGTATCCCCTCAGGAATAAAAGAAAAAAACAGCATTTCCGTGTTTGCTGCTATTTGCACACAACTGCTTTTCTTCTTTCTTTCTTTCTTTCTTTCTTTCTTTCTTTCTTTCTTTCTTTCTTTCTTATTTATTCTTGAGAGAGAAAGAGACAGAGCATGAGCGGGGGAGGAGCAGAGCAAAAGAGGGACACAGAATCCAAAGCAGGCTCCAGGCTGTCAGCACAGAGCCCAACACAGGGCTCCAACCCATGAACCGCGAGATCATGACCTGAGCAGAAGATGGACGCTCAACTGACTGAGCCACCCAGGCGCCCCACAACTTCTTTTCAACAGCATCAAACAGTCCTGCGATTTCAAGCGTCAGTAGAGCAATCATGACTAGGGCTTCCTGACTTGACCATAAGTTCAAAGTAGAAACATACAAAAAAAAAAAAAAAAAGTGGAAACATACTCACAGGAGGCCCTGGATCGCCTGGATCCCCTTTCTCACATTCACAAATCTTGTGTTCACACTGAGTCAAGAATGAAATCCAATATTAACACATAATGAAATGCAGCATTTCAAATCTTATTCCCTTGAAGAAATTTTACCAAGCAAATTTATGGAGTTTTTGCTCTCCCTTTTCAAGTCTTCTAGGCTAACTCAGATCTGGTAAGAGCCAGCTAATAAAGTATTACTAAACATTGCCATGGTTAGATAAATTAGACCTCCCACCAAAAATATATGTATAACATCTAGTTGCCAGTTAAAAGGGAAAATAAACATTTTCAGTGGGTTTTTGGAATTTCTTCCTTTTCTCTTCTATACAGTACATCAAAGCTCAATAACATACAAATATCAAATATTCCTTTAGTCAAAAAGGAAAACATGTGGCATACCATATTTTATCAATTCTAGGATGTACATTTCTCCTTATTTTAACATGTCTGAAATCAGAATGAGTCTTATTTGAATCAGGCCTGATCATAATGAAGGTGTTATTTTCTGCACATCTTCAAAACTTAACAGAATGAAATGGAAGAAAACTCCAGAGACACTACTGGAGCACACTCAAGAAATGCTGCATCACCAGTGTTTTTGATGGCGCACAGGCTGATATTGGGGGGAGGTGGGAGGAAGGGCATCAATGACTCAGAGACAAAAAGCCATGCAGAGGATTTAGGAATGCGAAGAACTTTTAGAAATAACCAATTTAGTTTGCTTCTACTTTCCCTTATACGTATGTACAAAAGTGATACAGGATTTAAAACTCTATGTCTAAATAAATCTAAAGGGACTCTTACCATAAGTATAAAATCAAGAATTGTAGTTTATAAGAAGTTACTATATCACAGCTTAATTGGCAGGGTCCTTTCCTATCTCAGTGGTACACAAAACAATGGTGTCTCTGACCATTTGATGAAACATGGTGTTCTGCAGGGTCTGGTTGGCTCCTATTATCTGTACATTTCCTGATGTTTAATAAGCAGTTTATCAAACAAAATTCGCATGTTCCAAACTCTGTGTTAAGAAACACATATGCAGTATAGAAGTCCTCAGCAACATTGTGGTCTTCGGTTGTCCTAAGCACTATCCAAACAATATCAGCCAGCTTCCTTTGCCACTTGGTATGGTTGCCACCAACAAGAAGGAGAATGAACTTAAAGTCAATCCCTGGGCAGCAGCAGGAGACTCTGAGTGGTGTCTCTGGGCTAGGAATCTTGGCTAACACACCTCCCAAAGTGAAGGATCCCCACGAGTAGCTGGTATCAGAGACATGCTTAGAATAAAGGAAGTGTTACCAAAACAAGCAAAAACTATGCCATTTAGGGGGGGGGGGGGCACCTGGCTGGGTCAGTTGGTGGAATGTGTGACTCTTGATCTCAGAGTTGTGAGTCCAAGCCCTGCATTGGGTGTAGAGATTACCTAAAAATAAAATCTTTTAAAAAAATTATGCATTTTGGCTACCACTGATTTCTAAAGTTACTCTCTAAAATCATATTAAATATTTCTTACTTTTTCTAAATTTTCCAATCTGCAGTAGATAGAGCAGCATAAAAGAAATCAGATGGCTGCCTCAAAATTGGCTCATTTTAGAAAGAATTAAGCATTTTTGTTTAGACACTCTTTATCTTCTAATGTGAATTACAATGCTGATTTGATTATGCAAACTTTTAGAGTTAATTCATAGTAATCAAAGCATGTGGTGCTTACCTTCTTTTCAAATAAGATATCCTAGGAGGGAAAAAAGAATAAAACATTAACTCGCTTCATGGTTCTGCTTCCAGCTTCTTATTAGTCTTAATTATTCTCTATGGGATATGCAATTTTCAAGAAGAATAGCAATTCAGTCTTTTTAACCTTATAAAAGCAGTAGAGCCTCCCAGCCAACCTCCCAAGGAGCGCTCTGAGCCATATCACAAGAGACAGGAAGGGCACTAACATTAAAAATTACTCTTTTTTGAGGAACTTTATCTTGTTACATCCTATGTTCTAGCTTTTGTTTTCTTAATCAGCTCTCTAATCTCCATAATTTGGCTACAAGCTTGATCAGTCATAATAAAGACTTTTCACTTTTACTTATAAAGACTTAGCCAGAATACATAATTGTATGTTTTCTCTACTTTTATTTTTCCATCCCTATACATACGTGCATTTTTTCAAACATTAAAACATTAAGTTTAGCGTGATAATTTCATGAAATACCAACAAGCCTTTCAAGTCAATCAGGTCCAGACTTTCATTTTGCCTCAAGGAAACTTGAGTCTGCTGTGCTGTCACTTGCCCAATGTCATACACTTGGGTGGAGCTACCTAAACAAGTTCAAGTGGTACTTTATACTTACCCACACAGTAATGAATGAGCCAGAATATTTTTCAAAATTCCTTTAAATTCACAATTTTAGAGAAATTCACAATCTAGTCTTTGTCTAACATCTTGACCTACTTCCGCTGAATGAGGTACTATCTGACGAGGGCACTAAGGCCACGTCCGAAGCCAAACATGGGAAAGAAATGAACCAATGCTTACAGATGAGAGAATTGTTTTCATAATGTAGAAAAGATGTGTCAGATTGATGCCTTACAACTGGACCTGAAGGGTTAATTTCATATGATAAAATAGAAAATGGAAATAAAAAGCCCTAGAATATTTGTTGCAAGATATTAAAAATGAAGTGGGCACCTGGGTGGCTCAGTTGGTTAAGTGTCCAACCAACTCTTGCTTCTGGCTCAGGTCATGATCTCATGGTTCGTGAATTTGAGCCCTAGATCAGGCTCTGCAATGTCAGTGGGATTCTCCCTCTCCCTCTCTCTCTGCCTCTTCCCAGCTCACATTCTTTCTCTCTCTCTCAAAATAAATAAATAAACTTAAAAATAAAATGATAAGAAATGAAGAAGGTAATGAGGAAGTTAAAGATAAGTCAGAGCTGTACCTTTATGGAGGAGCCCACATCCCTTTAGTTTTATTTTTACTTTACCTTTATTTCCATACAAACTAATAATACAGAGCGAAGATGTAGCAAAATGCTTTAAGCAGTTCTAGGGATCTAATAGGAGGACAAAATTAGGCTGAGAATTAAGCATCGTCTGGAGTTTTTACCCTGTGTCTACCATGAACTAGCTGTGTGGCTTTGGACAAGACACATAATCCTTCCAGGTCATTTTCCAAAAATACAAAAAATAAGAAATTTTGACCATGGGGTCTCAGGAGCTGTAAAACTCTGGCCACACACCCTATTTACAAAACTCAGAGTCTCACCAATGACCTTTTGTCCCTTCCTTCCCCCTCACTCTCCACCCTCCTGATTTAAAATAGCCAGCCAGTATAAATTCAGGCTGAAAGCAGATGAACTGCTTGTATCTTTATGAACTAACAGGTCATGTGGAGAAATGGGAATTCAGATATACTGACAGTCTTGGTGTAATTTCCCCTCTCCAGAACATTTGGCTGTGCCTAGAAAACTGAAGATGTGCATACTTTATTTCTAGGTTGCCCAGGATGAGTCCTTGTTTCCACCTGTTACTCTGACATCCCTTCCAGACATATCTTAGAGAAATTCTTGAAGCACTTGTATATTTCAGCATTCATTATTTTCAATAGTGAAAATTTGGAAATAATGAAAATATCCATCAGTATTAGAATGGGTCAATAACTGAAATATTATTCAGCAGTTTAAGTGAATCCATTGGGGCTACATATTTCAACATAGAAAATTTCCCAAGGACAGTGAGTGATAAAGCAAGTTGCAGAGGGATTTATAGAATGTGATCCAAATTATGAAAATATTTTGAACACATGTCAGAAGTTTAGTTTTCCTGAGAGAGGGAAAGGAATTTGAAAATAGTTCAAAATATAATAAACAAGTAATAATTCAAGACAAATTGTAATGTTTGAAAGCAACTACTGAAATAAATAAAAATGCAAAGTTCTGTCACCTTACAACCTTTTTATAATAAGCAACACCCTTCTATTATCTAGCATCAGTTTTTAAGCTCATGAATTTAGCTGCCACTATGCCTGATGTATAATTTTACACTTTTTTCAGCTCTTCCTTTGAGAATTTAATTTCTGCTGTGCCATGTTAACTCTTTAAAAATATGTGCCATGAGGCTTAAAACCATAACAACATAACTAACTAATTTTGGAACTCATTTGATTTTGTGTTTGCTGGAATTTGTATTTCTATGGAAACAAAAGTAGACCAAAGACTACACAATAGATAAGACTGTTTCAAACAAAGAACAAAGCTCTATCCCTAAGGACACTTATAGTCTATAAGCCCCAGTGACAGAAAACAGCCACAGCAAGCAGCGTGGGAAGGAGATCCCAGACTGGGTGGGGAGGTGGGAAACAAGACAGTTTCTGGAAATAGGTGGGTTTTCTGGATAATTTTCAAGAAGAATGCAAAGGACCAGCTCATTGATGGAATGCTCCCCTATATGTCAAAGTTTATGAGGAAAAAGTCATAAGGACTAGTGTGGGCAATAAGACAAAGGAAGCAGTGAGGAGGGACATTTCAAAGAGTGGACAAAAGGGCCCATGTGGACAGAGCTGGACACCTTGGGAAGTAGTGAGTGCCTTCACTTAGCAGAGAGGCAGGTTATGTAGCATACAGCTGGGAGAACGTGGTCAAAGCCATAGGGAAGGGCACGTTCAGTTAAGATCTAGGCAGATGAGGGTGCCTGGGTGGCTCAGTCGGTTGAAAGTCCAACTTTGGCTCAGGTCATGATCTCACAGTTAGTGGGTTCGAGCTCTGCGTTGGGCTTTGTGCTGACAGCTCAGAGCCTGGAGTCTGCTTCAGATTCTGTTGTTCACTCTCTCTCTGCTCCTCCCCTGCTCATGCTCTGTGTTTCTTTCTCTCAAGAATAAATAAACATTAAAAAAATTTAAAAAAAGATCTATGCGGTTGCTCTAGTTTAAATGGAAGGGATAAATGGAGAAAAGCCCTCCCTTGAGCGAAAGAAGGTGCATTTTATTAATGGAGGCAGAGTTCTATGATGGCATATATGTGGAAGGAAAAGACTAGAATGGAACTGCCAATTTTGTGAATGAGTATGAGGTCAATGCTCTGAGAAGGGGACAGAGGACATGTGAGGAAGGTGGCAAAGGTATTGGCACGGTAGCAGATGGGATCAGAACAAAGAACTTAGTAGGCGAGGATTACAAACTGTGACAAAAAAATATCTACAGCTTAATATAATGGCAAAATAGCCACCATAACATCTTTTCTGAAAGACCAACTATATGTATGGGATATTGGGTTGGAATTGTTTCCTTGGTTTCAATACTGTTATGTAAATCATAATAAAATAGTATTAAAACATTTTACATATCCTCTTCAATGTGGAATCATCAGGTATCTCTTGGGTCATTCAGAGTTGAAATGTATTCATGGGGTTCTTACATGATACTTTCTACTAGAGGTACCAGGGAGTTGGTAATGATTCCTTGATTTGTCTTGCTTCCTGCAAAATCTGTTCATTGTGGGCACCCATGTCCATTAAATTCAACTGAAGTCTACTCCTCAGTAAAAAGAAATAAACTGCTGATATAAAAAACAACCCAGTCGATTTCCAGAATTGTCATGCTGGGTATAAAAACCTTGACAGAAAAAGAGTACACACTGCATAAGCTTGTTTATATAAAAGCCTAGAAAATGTACACTAAACTCGAGTGACAAAAATCAGATCAGGAGCTAAGAGGCAAGGGAAGGATATTGTGCAAAGAGGCATGAGGAAATTTGGGCGTGGCAGAATGTTCTGTATCTTAACTGTGTTGGTGGTTTCGTGAATGTGTACATCTATCAAAACTCATAGAATTCTGTACTTTAAGTAGATGCAATTTTTTTTTAAATTATACCTAATTAACTTCTTTTAGAAAGTCAACTACATAATCATTTCAAAATGAAAAGCTTAAAAACTCAACAAAAAAAAATGTAATGGAAATAGATTAGATGAGGAATTTTTCCAATGGCCTGATCAAGAGTCAAGTTCTGCCTCCCACATAGTGGCAATTGGAAACGTTGAAACTTAGCATATTGTTCTTTGAGGGCCTAATAAGCACTTTGGTTGCTAGAAGTGTTTGGAAAGCAGCATCTCCTGAGAAGTGGCTTGTTCATAGAGCTTCCATCTGAACAAACAAGCTGAAATCACAGGATGCTAAGCAAGAGCGGGGTCATTGGGACACTTGATCATTTTCTGGTTTCCCCCCAAAATGGACAAATAGTCCTGTGTCAAGTCTACTGCCAAGATCCTGTGTTCTGAGGTGGGCAGGAGCTCTCAGCCAAGACAATGTGTCTAGAAGGAGTATGAACCTCCTGAGCCTACACAACTGGCCAAAGAGATGCCTCCCCTGCAACTTCTATAGTCAGCAACTGGCAACTCATTATCTCAATTCAAGTGTTCTCTCCAGCACATGCTAGAATCTTCTATTTTGGGTTCAGTGGTAAGGACTGTTTACATTATGGCACAGACAGACCTAGGCAGTTAGCCAGGTACCCCTGCACATTTCCCTTTCATGCAAAAAAGATGCTCGGGGTAAGCACTCCCCCTAACTCCCCTGGGGACTGAAATCACCATCTCCAACCTGGGCTGAGCTCTCCCTATCTACCTACTCCCAATGCCCAAGGAAAAGAGACCAGAAACAATAGCAGCTTTGGAGGAGGGATGTTGCTTAACTGTTTCAAGGCAGTGCTGATTGAGAAAATCTTAAAACACAGTTTCTATTTTCCCCCTTCAAGATAACTTCATAGGGTTAACTGTGAAGACCTCAGGGCCTTTGCATGGCATTACATTTTCAACTATCAAATGAGGATAATATAGTACTACATCATAATATTGTTGCAAAATAAAATAAATAAAGTAATGAATAAAATAAAAGATGTAAGTAAAGTACTCAGAACAATGGCTAAGACAGAGAGCACTCAAGACATGATAACTATTATTTAGATAAAATAGTTAATGTCTCATGCTGAAAACAACAGTTATAAGAATAACTTACAAGTTATTATCTTAAAGTTAATATTTAAGAGGATTAACTTACAGAATAGTTATATAAATATAACAGAAAAATATAATATAAAAATATAAATATAATATAAAAATAAAATATAAATAGAATTTAAGTTATTAACTTATAAGAATAATGTTAGGAAAAAGATTGGGAGAAGGGACAAAAGGGCAAAACAATCTCTGAAACAAGGCTGAGATTTTTTGCAACCTATAGAAAACAGCTATATGAAATGCCTAGTATAAGGGACACATGTGCCTTGCCCTCTTCTCAAGAAATCAAAGAAAATCAGTATTTGTAGGAAAATCGATTTTTAACACTTAACAAATCAACCACTTTTTCTCTAGGAGTTTTTTCTTGAGAAATACTCTGAAGAGGGATTTTATTTTGATTGCTTTGCCTTGTGTTTTCCCAAGCAGAAAGGAAAGGATCTCACACACAGCTGAGCAATCAGCAAAGAAAAGCATCGACATAGCTAATCAGACCAATCAAATGGCACTCATTGATATGTGGGAGAAACTGTTGGGTGACTGAAGGTTGCAGGTGATTTTACATTGGGTGGGCTTGCGAACACCTAAGAAACAAGGACATAATGAAAAAATTAGAAGTCTATGAACTTTGCTTGAGTAGCATAATATTGCTGTAGGTGACATATTGAGTCAAAACGTTTCTGCAGATGTTAAATGGGGAAAAAACCCAACTTAGTACAAATACTGCATACCACAAGTTGACCACAAATTGAATATAAGTCAGCAGTGTTCGTGATCCCAGGATGTATAAACAGGAGACTGAAGTGTATAACTGGAAAGTAATTCTTCCCAAATTCTCAGCATTGCTTGCTTCATAGATGTGGTCTTCATTCTCAGCAATAAAGTTAGGAATGCAATTCCAGAGCAGGAACTCTGGTACTTTCCCAGTTTATCTGGTGTAAACTATCAAGGAAGTAGAGAGACTTCGGAAAGATTCTCTTAGCTATTTCCAAGGTGGATTCTTTTTCCTCTATCTTTCTGACCCAGTATCTATCCTCACAGAATTTATAATTAAGGTATCAATATTATGGTTGGAAATATATATATAAGACCCACTCCTCAAGTACCTACCAGGCGATCTTGAATTTTATCTTCAAGTGTGGGATCACTCAACAGTAGAACGGGCTCGCTGGATGATTCCCCAGATATCAAACGAAGTTTGGCTTCATTGACGACAGTGGAAAGTCCAATGGTGATAAACAATATTCCTGCAGTTCTGGCGTCTTCAGAAATACTCTTGACATCTGGATTCTTTGGATGGTCAATGCCATCAGTCATCAGCAAAGCCACTTTCACACCATCTTTACGCCCTTCTCTCTTAAGCAAACTAGTGGCATTGGAGATTGCATAATAGGAGAAGGTGCCTTGCCCAATGAAATTCATAGATTTGACCCTCTGTTTAAAAGTCTGCAGATCCTTCCAAGAAGAAAAAGGTGGATCAATTTGGACAGAGGTGCTAAACTGAAGTGCTGCCAGTTTGATATCATATTTCAAGGAGCGAACCGGGGTCAGTTGGAAAACCTTGTCACTCAAGCTAGCCACAAAATCTTTCTGTTTATCAAAGAGAACAATTTTAGAACTTTCAGAGCTGTCCACAATGAAGACCACATCTATGAAGCAAGTAGAGTCTGAAATAGAACAAACAGGTTAGGCAAAATATTTGTTCCTAATCAGGAAACCACTTTGCCTAAGGAAAGCCCTGAGGTGGTGGGATGTGTGTTGTTTTGGAGAGGAGAGGGGAGTGCAAAAGAGAGGTGCCTTGGAGATGGGGCTTAAGTTGTGAAGAACTACATCTCTTTCCAAATCTAGAAATTCTTTGCCTCTTAAAATCATGCAAATGAAAAGCCAACAAATAAAATACCATGTATATTGAGCATCTCCTCAAAGTAAAAGCTGCTTAGAAATCCAGCAAATATTGGGCAAAGCTGTCTAGACGTAAACAACACTTTGCCTAAATCTCAGGTTCTATGTCACATTCATGAGGCTTCATCTTGTTCGGATAGTTGGTTTGGGGATTTTTTTTTTTTTTTTTTTTAGCTTTTTTGAAATCCAGGGAGAAAACAACTATACACATCACTTTAGCAATAAGGGGGAATCTTAAAAACAGAGAACTTGAGCTTGAATTCTAGCTCTGCATCTTACTAGTTCATTTGTCTACGGCCTGAGATATGCCATTTAATCTCTCTGGGCTGCCATTTCTTTATGAGAGTGGCACTTTCTGTCATTACTATTTTATAAAGCTACTGTGAGGCTCAAATGAGATAATGTACAAGGGCTCTAAAACATCTAAAGTTTTTATAAGTATCCTTTGTATGTATACAAGGTATATTATTATCACAACATAATTATATTAAAATAGAATATTACATATGTTTTTATATATGTATGGTTTGATATTTATATCAAGTGTTATTCAGAAAAAAATATTCAGGCTAAAACTAATCATTAAAAAAAAACTTTTTTTTTTTTTTTTACCCTGCAAGTTATTTTTCTTTGCAAGTAAATTGGACTTTGATCCTTTCTTTCTTTGTCCATGTATTGTTTGACTCATAAAAGCTGGCAAAAGCAGGAGATAGAAGACAAAATGTCTGTTCCACATCATGGCAGGTGGTGAAAGGTCATCTGTCTTGTAGCACCTTTAATAGAAAAATCAGTTATAAATACTTTGGTAAAATAAAATGTTTGCTATTTTTTAATTTCAAGCCAGCAGAATTGAAAACCAGCATGTGACAAGAGAAAAGGGTTTTCATTCATATTTCCAGAAAAACATCTACACTGAGATTTTAGAAGATTTTAATTGAAATAAATCATGGCACCACAAGCCAACACTTATTACTGAATATTTCTATATAGTCAAAGAATTACAGCCAAGTAATCTGAATTTCCCATTTTATTATGAGAAGCAGAGAGTAGGAAAAGCCATTTGAGAACACTTCAGTCCCACTCTGTATGATGACCATGGTTCAAGCATAGGGTCTGTTTTGACATTTCCACATTCTTCAAGGTGATATCAGATTGCTACATGGTTGTTTCATTATAACTAATTCCTGATGATCTCAATATTTTTACAGGGTTGTAGAGAACCACCATCATTCCAGTCTTAATAATACATGCACAACTTTAGTGACTTCAAAAGGCTAGTCAAAAATGAAATTGCCCTTGTATTCCCATAGAACATCATTTCTCTGTTATGCTCTTGCTTGGAAACTTCATCTACAACAGAGTTCCAAGCTGGACTACAGCTGCATATCCAATGAATCAAATGAGTATGAGAACAAAAATAGCAGATTTGCTCAGCAACATTGTTCTTCCAGCAAAGAACTGATGGGCAGAAATAAGACTTGATATCAGAACACACTTCCTCTGAACATTCCTGTGAAACTATTTTTCTGGGTCAATTAACAATGAAAACTCTAATCCTGTATTAAATCTTCAGCCATCTTCATCCCTCAATATGCCCAGCTATCCGCTGGATGACTTTTTAACCCACAGGCTTCCCTGGCAAGAGAAAACTCACATGTGGCTAGCTCAGTATACTGGAGAAGGAACAAAAAGGCTTTTTTGAAACAATGTTCTGCATGGTTTGGAAATGCTCTCCTTCTTAAACTATACTGACTTCAGAAGTTCTGGAAAAGGAAATCACATTTTCCTTCACTTTGCCTTCAGGGAATGGGAACCAGGAAATCATGAGCATGATTTTTTCAGGCTCAAATAGGGGGTGGAAATATATGCAAAGGTAGTGAGGAATGGAATGGATCACTGACTTCTTTCATATATGCCAGATAGAGAAACCCAAAAAGGAATCAAAGCTGTTGGGTTGAGGATGAACCAATGGATGGCTCCATGCCATAATCTGCTCCTCAAGTAATATCGCCTAGCAGGAAGTTTATTAAGCTGACTCTGTATCAGTCTGGCCAAGCTTCTCTTTGGCAAGTGCATCAAGTGCAATCGGCCAGATGTCAACAGTTTTCAGATCAGGTATGTTAAGATGTGAAGACAGCTGAATGTTTAAAAAAGAAGAAGAACAAGAAGTTTCCTGAGGAAATAAAACACATAAAGGACATCCTTCCCTCAAGTAATCCCTTGTTAACCAAAGAGAAGAATGCAGAAGGAAGTACAAGTTTAACTGAAGACTAACGTAAAAATAAGGCTGTGTGGCAAAACACAGCTGCTATTGCATTTTCAGGGGGGCAGGCCAGGGGAATAACACCACGTCCCTGGTGTGACATATGACCTTTCCCTTTCGTTGAGCCCATTATTATAAGAAGCATCTCAGAAGTTATAGGAATAAGAGACTGAGGATTTAATTTCATTGAAAATAAGACGATTTTACAAGCTACACGATCAATACAACTCTTCAAAAAAATCTAAAGATGATTCCCATGCAGGACCCTGAGCAGAAAACCACTTTCTTCTCATTTGTTGGCCTCATTTTGGGCTTTGGAAATGCTGTCTTTAAATAAAGACTTGTCTTCCCTAAAACTAAGCACTTACTCATACAGTTGTGTGTGTGTGTTTACTTGTTTGTTTGTTTTTGTTTTTGTTTTTGTTTTTGGGGGGGGGTTGGTCATATAACCATGAATTCACACCTGAAGCTTTATCTATACAATGGTCACCGTCACAACGTCTTCACTAGCAACAATCACAATCTCATATTTTATTACTATTTCCTCTGTTATTTTTTATCCAGCTCTCCCAAAGCAGTCTTGCTATTCCTCTCTCTTTACTGGTATTAGCCTGAGGATACCCTTATACGTTTGGTTTCTAGTTCCACAGCCTTTCTGAAATCTCTTTCTTTTTTATTAGTTTGGCATAGTAAGAGACACTCATTTCTAATCATTTTTGCCATGTTTTATTTTGCCTCAGTTTTCAATAATTCTTACCTTTTGCTCATTTAGACATCATATACAAGCAAAATAGGTTTCAGGGGGAAAATGCCATTAAATAAAAGTTAAATAAAAGAAATTTATAAATTCAGATAAAAGAATAAAAGATATAAATAAATAAAAGTTAAATAAAAGAAATTAAGAAAGAAAGAAGGAAGAAAGAAAGAAAGAAAGAAAGAAAGAAAGAAAGAAAAGAAATAAAAACCTCTGTGTTTACTATAAGTGGCATTTTATAAATGCAGAGACAACGATTATCTTTAACCAAATGCTATATATTTGCCTTTTTTGTCTAAAATTTATTTTGGGTAAATATCAGCATCAATAAATCCAAGAGACTTCATATGTTATGATGTTTTAAAACTAAAATTCTTTCAGCAGAGTTTACCAATTGTATTCACAGTGTTTGCATAGCATTTATTTCACATAAAGATAAAATTATCAAATGAGCACTTTATTCAAATTGCCAAACTAACCAAGGTATAAAACATTCTGTAATTAATACTGAGTTATAAAAATATGTTCCAAATTAAGAAAAAGAGGTCCCAAAAGATATTAACATCATTGCAATGCTATGTAGTAGCCTGTGAATAAAAAATCAATTTTCAAATAATTTTGACATAAATTTTAAATGTCTACATTTTAACAATTATTTATATTTTTTTAATAATTAATTTAAAGTAATGGCAGAGGATAGAAAATTTTTCTCTCAGCTATTATTTTCAGCTTTCTTCACATAATAAGTATGCACACCTTGCAGTCTTCCACAGTGCCTAGGTGGTCTTCTCTGATTTCAAGTGATTAAAATAAAACAGTTATGTCTTACCTTATAAAGTTTGTCAAACTGGAATTAAAGACTGATTAAGCAAATGCCAACGGCAAGGACCATTGTTGGGGATGGAGTTAGCTATTTGATATTGTTCTGTTCTGTGGAAAAAAAAATTATCTTTGCTTTTGGAACTTTTGCAATCTTTTATTTGTGTTTATTAGCCTAAGTTAAAGCAAGAGTGGTCAGGCATTTGGCCAGGGTGCAAGATCTGGGTGGGATCAGTAAGTAATTTAAAGGAACAGTGTCCTCTTGGAACAAGTCTATGTTCTCCAAACTGTTATAAAAATAACTTGAGCAGATTTTCTACATTTTCGGCATTTATTGACAGCCTGCCTTTGTGTCTCATACCATATCCTCCTTCTGTTTCTACATTTCTTTGCCTGGGGTGTGCTCTGTGTGATACTAGTTCCTAACTTCTCTGTGAGGGAGTGTAAATGACAACAGACTCAGATGCAAAACTGGTTTTTCAAGAGAGGCAATGGATTGAAATTATTGAAGCTGAATGAAGAGTATAGAGAAGTTCCTTATTCTAGCCTTTCTATGTCTGTGATTTTTGAAATTTTTCATACTACCATTGGTATTATATACAGTGAAAGAGTGATCTGAATTTAGTTCTGGTTTTGTCTCTAATATGGGGACCTCAGTTTCCCATTTATGAAATGAGGGAGTGAATAATTATTTATCAAGATCCTTCCAAAGTATAACACAAGAGCTAGGTTTACAGTGGTCATATTCTGAGCTCTCTGTTCCAGAAAGGTAGTCACTGAAGTGGCTCCGTTCTCTTTTTTCCTGTTTTCTACCTTCTGGTTACAACCCATATTAAGATGTTTATCAGTGCAAAACATACTGCCACGAAGCCACTCGACTCCTAGACAAATAACAGACAGGCTTCTCAAGGAACTGCCTCACAGAGAGTAGCAAGATGATCAGAGATAGCAACACAAATCTTCACGTTATAATTATTTAAAAGTAGCCTTCTTAGGAAAGCATTTTGACATTTACAGATACACTTATTGTAACATAATACCTTCTACTTCATGAACATTTTACCAGGTGTGAGGCACTGCGCTAAATGCTTCATTCACATAATGGCATTTAGCTCTCCCAAAGCATCACCACCTACGGTACAGTAAGTGTTGTAAGAATTCATTTTGCAGATGAGGATGTTGAGGCAGAGAAGAGTGTGGTAAGACTTTCTCACTGTCATACTAATGCTAGAGAATGCCAGAACAGGATCTTAACTCAGATGTATCTGAACCCTGAGCCTCACTTACAACAACTAACGCATTATTAAATTACGTGTCTGGGTAAACGTTCATGTTTTCATGGTTTCTGCACCACAAAGCAGTTTTTGAGGAACCGAGGAAATTTTGTGAGTCTTTGGTAATAGAAAAACAGTGGGTAATTGTGCAGAAGTACAAATGGAATTTCCCAGGAAGCAACCACATATATACCTTAAATAACCTGTGGATGTTTGCCACACTTATCACTTTTGTGAGATGAGAATCGTGGGACAAGGAAGTGGCTTTTTTTCAGGTCAACTCCTTTTTTTTCTGGGGTAAAGTACCAACTTGCGAAATAATAATAATAATACCTCTAAGAAGCAACCAGGCAACTCCTGGAGGGGAGAAATGGACTAAAGCCCTCCTGCTTCGGAAGTGTTCTGACTGAAGTTGGTGACAGGTTGGAGTCCTGCCTGCTCATCGTTTTCCTTTCATCCCCCAAGGTCAAATAGGGTAACCCACACCCAGGGTTTTCCACCTTTCATTCCTAGGTGTGGCAATCAGCACTACATTGGTTGATTGGGTAGATGACTCTGAAGAAAATCTTCTGTCCATTTACATGAAAAGGCTAGTTACATAAGGCAATTGGCTTTACGCACGGAGAAGCAAAATGGCGTGGTGAAGAATGCAGGCTTAATCCTAATGGGTGGTCTTCAATTAGTGTGCAATTGGACATACACAGTCCAAATAAGGGAACATGGAGAATGATGATGACTAGAAAAGGCAACTTGGAGTCCATGACCTTCTGACAGTTGTTCTGTAGCAAAGACCTTTTTTTTTAAAATTTTCATTATGCTTTTGTTATTGCTTATAGGGGCGCTACCTCCTTTATACACCCACTAGACAACATCTACCTTAATATCTCTAATTTTTCTATTACTGTGCACAGTGCTGGCTGTAGCAAAGCTTCATAGAAGAAAGAAGCACACTATTTTTACTATTATTACTGTAATGGCCTAGAATAAGCACTCAAGAAATATTTATTGAGTGATTACTCGAACTAATTTTTTCATATTTATCAATCACTTGAGAACTGTGATACAATAGCTTGTTCTCTTCCAGAGATTTACTAGACAAGGAATCTTTTCGCATCTTTTTCAAAAATGTTTAATACTCTACCACAGTAGAATCTATGTTGGCTTTATTTGTTTTGGTACCAGTGCCGAGATGTCCGTTTCAGTAATGATGGTATTTGGGGTCCTAGAAACATTTAAAAGGAATCAAAGTCTGGGATGACTTGTGTATATTGGAAGGTTTTATCTGCTTGAGGTTACAGAAATAATGAAAAGGCTAAGTAACATATCAGATCAAACTTGTATTGAAGTTATACATCTGGACCAAGACCAAGCTATAGCATAATATTTCACAATCTTCTCCCAATTTCCCTGACCTTTCACAGTGCTGATCTAGAATAGAAAAGAACATTATCAACTGAGAATGGAGAAGCCAAAGACTTTTTTGCCCAATTTGGAGTTATCTGTAATCATTAGAGGTCCCCTTCTATTATTTTTCCGTATAAAATCTTGAGATAGTAGAGTTGGGTTTTTTTGGTTTTTGTTGTTGTTGTTGTTTTGTTTTGTTTTTGGTTTTTTTGCCTCAAAGCTCTGGAGCTTCTGGGATTCACCACCTTTCTTGGCTCTAAGGGTATGACTTGAACATTCTCTCATGTCATTCATCCGTAAATTAGAGGGACACCAAAATGGATTTGGTTCTGTTTATCAACTAAGGAAAGGATTAAAAATATTCAAAGACAACAAGGAAGTGAAAATTATCATTGGTAATAAAACATAGGCAATGTGTCATTGCTTCAGTATGGAGCAGTGTGACTACAGAGCACCTCCCCTCACCAAATGCTGATTGAGTTGACTCTTCTGCATTCTCTTTACTCACTTATGGTTTGTATTGTTTGTTCCCTGATATATCTGGATTGTTTGTCATTTGGTCTTCAGCTTGAGTAATCGTGTCACAAATGTAACACACAGTGCCCTAGACCACCGTGACAGCATAAATTCCCACTGTCCCAATCTCAATTGCTAAAATCTTTCTTTAAAATTTTCCTTCAATATTGATATTTCCTTTTTGCATTTATTCTTTACTACGATCAAATTAATTCATGCCAAAAAACCAGAGTGCTCTCTGGAAAAATTTACAATTTTCCTGTCTGATAAATGTCTCAAAGTGCTTAGGTCTTGTGGTACCATAGGTTTGAATGTTAAGGTTTTTTTATTTTTGTTTGTTTTTTCAAAATTATTCCTTTCAGTTAGTGGATAGGGCAGTATTAACTTCTTCATGCAGAGTCCACTAAAAAAGAAAGATCAGATCTATTTAAGCCTTGCCCAAACTCTTGTTTTAATGGAGAAAATATTTTCTATTTTTCGTTTAGTTGATTTTACTTTCAGGTATTAGAAAATATTATACTAGGATGCCTGGGTGGCTTAGTCAGGTAAGCGTCTGACTTCGGCTCAGGTCATGATCTCGTGGTTCATGAGTTCAAGCCCTGCGTCAGGCTCTGTGCTGACAGCTCAGAGCCTGGAACCTGCTTTGGATTCTGTCTCTCTTGCTCTCTCTCGCTCTCTCAAAAATAAATAAACATTAAAAAATTTTTTTAATGTTGTACTGTATTGGGGTGAATTATTTAATTTCCCACTAGATGGTATTGGAGCTTTTCTTGTATGAGGGGCAAAGAAGAGCATCAAATATCAGAACTGAAAGGAAACTTAGACACAACTTCTATTTGATTTTTCCATTTCACAGATGATAAACTAGAGGTAGGTGTTGTGACCCACCCAAAGGTCCTAGCATGAGTCGGTGAGGGAATAGAGTTTAGATCTTTGTGTGGTAGCTGGCCATCTTTCTTTAATCCTGAAGCCCTCAGGATTGCTTGGCCTTTGTACCGTCCAGGTTTGTGCCACAGCAGGAGAAAAAGGATGCTGGTCTATGGCCAACAATATATGTTTGAAAAATATGGATTTGCTTTAGGGGCCAATGGCTCAGGACAAATTATCATGAGCTAAATTCCTGCATGTAATGAGTCTCACATCTCACTATGTATGCCTGGACTATCAAAGGCAATGAACACCAGTCCTTGAAGAACTGTCTCCTCTGGGTTTGGGTAGGTTCGCCTGAGAAGCTGGGGATTATTACAAAGATTTCAGTGACCAACTGTGCATATTATTGATACCTAATCAAAATACATCCAGAAATATAAGAAGACATCATCATCTGTATGTGTAAGTTTCAGAAACTCAACACCCATCTGGATGTTGTGGCCAGTCCTTTTGTGATTTAATAAGAATATCCCCCAAAAGGAAGTTTGTAAAATAATTCAAATTTCTGGAACTAAAATGCTTTAAGAACATTAAGTAACATTATGCCACATTATACCAACCCATGACAACTCTGGTTTACAGAACATTGTCCCTATTTGAAGTAATAGAGTCAACTGTTTGCATTACATCTAAATTATGTAGTTTCTCCTATATAGTTTCTGTCCTTTTAAATTCTGCAATAAGAGTAGATTATTCATGGACAAAGTTTACAGCAAAAGAGACCTGAGGTGAGTTAATATTTTTACTATTTTAGGATATGAAAAATATTTTAATAAAATAACACTCTACACAAGTATAAGGTGTATATTATAGTAATTATTTATTATTTATATCCAGAACTATAGACTCTGAAATTACAATGTATAATTTTTTTAGGGAGAAAGCTTTTTTACTTAAGAAATTCAGAAGCCAGTACACTAAGTGTCAGGACTTAAATAATGAAGCGCTTTAAGTGCAAGGATTCTTTGATTTGAAGGTGTTCAGAGCAGATGGGCCAATGTGGAAAACAGATCACCAAGA